AAATCAGTCACTTTGATACAGATACACAGTTTTGCCCACTGCCTTAACCAAAGCCTTTTGACCTTGATCCAAACTCACTCCCAGCACAGCTGGTTTGATTAAACAAAAACAAACTTCAGTACATTTAAATCAGTTTTAATTTATTATCAGATTATTATTATAAATGTCACTTACCTGGCACCTCTAAGAGGAGGACAATATAAATGTATAAAAACATCATTCATCTGCTGAAAAAGGTTTATACTTGGTGTAATGCTGTCTTTGGGGTTTTCACACTGTTTTTGTATGAACTTCAACAATGGGGTGCTGATGTCATTTCCTGAAATGAAGTTACTTTAGAAACAATTTTAAAAGACATTTTACACAAGCCTTTTACACTAACTGAATTTCAGGTTAATGTGAAGTATAGCAATATAAAAAAGGGAGTTTATTTTACATTACCCACATACATGTATCCCTAGAGAGATGCACCTTTTTCTTTTAATTTGATTTTGTGAATGATACCAATGCTTAAGGTTATTTTAAATAAACTTTTATAGTGAGGTTGATATGAATGTGCAGGGAAAACAAAACACAGATATGAAATACACCCATAAAACTGATGGGCCAGATTTTTTTGTACAGGCCAATATTATTAACCATGAATGTGATGTAATGTTTAGCATCCAGTGAGCGACATTTTTTATTTAGTTTTGGTTTTTCTAATAACAAAGCTATTTTATAAAATGTTTTCTGTAAAATAAATTAGAATTGCAAGTGTCCAATTACATTTTAGTACCACTATATTGGGATTCCTAAGATCTGCTTTATGTTTTATTAATGTATTAACCTATTTTAATCTATTTAACCCCCTTTAAATTTGACTTAACATGGATCATAATGAGAACAACAGTACACAAGTTTATGAGCATTGTTCATTCGATTATGCAAGATGATAAAGTTTCCTGTACACTTCTTTACACTCTTTTGCAAAAATCATTGCAGAAAATTGTTCAGTTACACACATCAGTTTGGCAATGTCATTTCCTGAGGGGGAGCTCTGATAAATGTCAACGCTCTTTCCAAAAGTAATTTGTACAGCAATCAGGATGAATTATTTAAAAACATGCATTTCTACCACACCTGACTGATATATTATGTCTCATCGGGATTCTCTTCAATTTATTATATGTAATTTAGTAAAATGCTGTTTATTAGAAGTAACTTGCATAGAGCTTTAAAGGTGAAAAAAATCCTCTTTCGCACTTTAGTAGCACCATCCACTGTTGGAGATCTGCACGATAAACAAAGAACTGCTGAAATATAATAGATATGCTCTTCAGGATGCATGTTGGACTTTTTGGAAATTGGGTTTATACACATGAAATATCAGCTCCAAGAATAGATGTCACATTATGTTCAGAAGAGTAAAATCTAATGAATGCTGTCTAATGACAATATCCTTGAATTAATGTACAGTAATGAGTGTGTGAATGTTTTCACTGTGGTTGCTTGAGTCCCAGTAGGCACAGAAGTAAACGGCAGCATGAATCGGTTTTGTGTTGCTCAGTTTGAGGTTATAAAGCTGTGTTCTGTCCACGGTAAAGTCATTTGCTCGGGGATTGCTGGGACATGGAGTAAAGCTGCCAACTGCATTGATATACAGTAGTCTTGATGGGACTTCAATCTCTCTCTTTTGGTACCAATGGATATAATTCCAAGATGGCAAACCAGTGACTTTGCAGGGGAGATATGAAGTTTTGCCCACTGCTTTGATCAAAATCTGTTGACATTTGATCCAAAGTCACTACCAAAACAGTTTTTTGTATTTCTTAAAGGCATATTTCAAAGGCTTAATTTCGAATGGCACCTACCTGGGATCTCTGAGAGGAGGACAATAAAATACTTTTAATATTAGCAGTGTGGAATGTTTTGTCATTTGTTTTAGGCTCAATCATTTAGTGTTTTTAAAAATATGTATAACTGGTTTGGAAAAACATTAAGGAAAGGCCTCCAACATATTTGGTCCAAATGTCAACATATATGGTAATTTTCACTGTAGTATCATTTCCATATGTATGGATTTTTTTTTTTAATTCAGATGAACTTAAATAAAATGGCTGACCCATTTGTCTTGCTAAGTGAATTAGCTAGTTTTATTTATCATAACAATCAAACAATATTTTCACACTTTTTTGGAGACTCAATAAAACTCCTGGACTAGAATAAAAATGTTCTGTTCCATCAAGTGTTTACCTTTATTTTTTATTTTCTTCAAACATCATGTCTCATATTTATTTTCAGTATGCTCTTCACTAACACCTTTGTCATTTTGTAACCATGTCTATAAATGTTTGATAGAACTTTATTATGCAGAAATGTTGATTGTGGAGGCAGTGCCAAAAAATCACTGCGCTCAACCTTAGTTTTGGGTGCTTAGATCAATGAGTAACATCACTTTCAAATAAAGGATCCGCACTTGCTGTATCTTCTTAATTATAGTTTATTTTTATTTTGCAGGAGGCAGTGAGCCACAGCTGTGGGACAGCTGTAATTTGAATGTCCTGAATGTAATACAAATTTTAAAAAATAATAATTGTCAACATAGTTATTATGATTAAGATTCAACGTTTTGTTACAAATGTTATTTAAATATAAATGTAAGACGATTGAGATGACAATTATTGAAAATTAAGATTGAGTTCTGAAACTGTGACATGTAAAATAAAAATAAAATCTATACATAAAAGACATTTTAGAAAAATTGTTGACCATCACTATACAGTATATAGCAAATACTGTGTTTAGGGTTCTTCTGAGAATACTTTTGGAACAGTTAACATCATTTTTAATGAAATATTGACAACAAATAGCACCATCACAGTTCAAAGATGTCTAATGTCTCCTCCTTGCTGTTGTTCCAGCATCAGCTTTGATGATAAAAGCAGGTTTTTGTAATGATTTCCTCTTACAGTTAGCACTGTGCTATTGTCTCCACTCCAGAGCGCGCAGTAATATGATCCCGCATCGCTGAGCTCCAGTGTTGAGATAGTCAGGGTCACTGTATTACCCTTCACCGATCCAGTGAAGAGCGTTGGATTGAAGCATCGCTGAATCCACTTCGCTTTTGATTAGAGCAGCTTAGTCCTTGTCCTAATCATCACAGAATCAAGATGCCTAATTTGTCCATTTAAACAATCTAAACCCATAAGAGAAACCATTAAAATACTATGAGCGTGTACATACAATAAAACACTTACGTTTTTATTTATATCATTACATTAATCACAAGAACCCACTAAACGAACAGCAGTTTCTCCCGACTGAGGAGTAACCATAGCAACAGTAAGCTGCTCGAGAGTTTTCTGTTAGAATCCGTATCGAATATCGATAAAACGTTTGTAGCTACAGTAAGTTAATTAATTAGGACTTTAAACTATATTTTTGTAGCGCAATTAGGCCTATACAACAACTTTTCGTTTAAAATGTTTCAAGTTAGCTGAGAAGTCGCTTGTGCGCGAGGCGAACCTCAAGAGGAAGAAAAAACGGGAATTACCACGAAATATTTTATTACATTTTAAAATGTAAAAGTAAAAAACAATCTGTGATTAATTGTGAATAATTGTGAGTAGTTGTGACGAGAAATGTCAATAATAAAATCTCACCTATAAAGACTACTAACAATCCAAATGTTATCATTCCAGACGGTGCCATGTGTACCTCTGTCGTCCAGGAGTTTGAAGAATTATGAACAACAGCAGACAATCAGAAGGTAATGATAATGGCCTTGTGGTTTCCTCTTTGCGTTTATGTTGTTGTCATTACTACCACAAGGTTTTTCACACAAGCTAAAACAATCTATATAAATGATGGGTGATGGGAATCGACATTCATTTAACACGTGTAATTAAAAGAAAGAAAAACACTCTGGGTTATAAAGCAGCTTCTTCCTCAATAGCACCCTTCTTCTTTTTTCTTTGCTAAAATGGCTAATTTGGATTCAAATCTGTGAAGATTTTTTGAGTAAAATTCAGTTAAAAACATTTAGCTAATAATGACACTGTGATGTCATTTGGAATACATTATTTTAAAAAAACATTTATTAATTCACAATGTGTCATTTACATTTTATTTTCACCACACAAGGACCAGCCTATCATTGAGATTTTTATACGTTTTCATTTTAAATTGACTTAAAGCTTTATTAATTTTGTTGTGTTTCTGTCAGTTTTATTAGTTTTTGTTTGTCTTTATAGGTTTTTATTCATTTTTATTTCAGCTTTAGTTGTAGTTATTTTATTACATAAAATTAAACAAAATAAAAAAAGACAAATGTTGCCTGGGCAACTAGCTGAAATAAAGTAAGTCTGTGTTTTTTAGATTGTATTTTATTTTGTTGTTTAATTTTCAAGTATTTTAAGGAAGTTGACTTTTCCCATCAGTGATGAATGTCAAATAAAACGTAAAAAGAAGACAGTTCTCGTGAGTGCGGATCATAATTTCCTATAACAAGTATTTTAAGGAACAAATAGCCTATTTATAAATATTTCTTAGTTTTATTTTTTAGTTAGCCTAACTATAATAACCCTGACAAGGAAAAGTGATATTTCAAGCAAGTGCTTCATCAAACTGAACATTATACAAATCCATAAATAGCCATAATCCCTAGACAAATAACAATGACAAATTTGATCTTTTAAAAATGTTGGAATACACATAACAAATAAGATATACTTGATATATTCCAAAATCACAAATATAAATACAGTGTGTAAAAAAACCCTCATACAAACATGCGCAATGTGTCCATGAACACCAGGGCAATTATAATTCCAATCCAAACAGATCCGAATTCCATCATCCAGCCAGCATGCATATAAAGCTTAAGTCAAATTATGCAAATTATTATTATGCATATAAAGCTTAAGTCAAAATGACAGTTTAAGTAAATATTGCATTCATTAATAACATTACCAGTATAGTTCATGTACAGGATGTGAGTAAATCTTCTCACTGTGGACGCTGCTTGTGTCCCAGTAGGCGCAGAAGTAAACGGCAGAATGACTCTTCTGAGTATTACTCAGTTTTAGATCATAAAGCTTTGTTTTGTCCACTGTGAAGTCAGTTGCTTGGGGATTGTTGGTATCACGAGCAACACTACCTCCTTGAGTGATATACAGTAGTCTCGATGGGGCTTCACCCTCTTTAACTTGGTACCAATGGATATAATCTGAAGTGCCCAGACCAGTCACTTTGCAGGGCAGATATATAGTTTTGCCCACTCCTTTAAACAAAACCTTTGGACCTTGATCCAAACTCACTCCCAGCACAGCTGCTTTAATTAAACAAAGCAAACTTCAATACATTTAAATAATGTTAAATTTTTTACATTTTCTTTTTATTATAAATGTCACTTACCTGGCACCTCTAAGAGGAGGACAATATAAATGTATAAAAACATCATTCATCTGCTGAAAAAAGTTTATACTTGGTGTAATGCTGTCTTTGGGGTTTTCACACTGTTTTTGTATGAACTTCAACAATGGGGTGCTGATGTCATTTCCTGAAATGAAGTTACCTTAGAAACCATGTTTAAGCAAATTTAGCATGAGCCTTTTATATTAAATGAAATTACTTTAAAGTATAGCAACATAAAATTGCCAGTTTGTCACATTATCCTCATCTGTAAGATATTAGACAATTTATCAGAGAGATTTGAAAAAATGGTTATAGTCAAACCAATGCTTAAGGTTATTTTAATGAATTACATTTGTATAGTAAGACTTACATTTGTGTATTGGAAAACAAGAGAGCTGAAAAAATAAATGAAAAATAAAACTGACGGACCAGATGTTTTACACAGGCTAGTATACAGTAACAATAGACATTATTATTAAAATATTTTTATTGATTTTCATTAATATGCAACAGTCACAACCACACAAACGTATACTACATTCTTTTAACTCACATATTCCCATATTCCACACCAAAACACATAACTACATACATATATGTATGTGTGTGTGTGGGGGGGGGTTCAGTTATGATATAATAGCCCATGCACGAGGATTCAACGTAAGATAAGAATGGCTGCCAGACCCTGTAGAACTTTCCAGAGGAGCCTCGAATAGTATACTTTAGGTGACCACCTCTGCCACCCAGCGTTTGTGAGATGGTGGCCTTGCCTTTATTTCAACTGAGAAGAATCAGGCGTCTAGCCAATAATGAGGAAAAGGCAATAATTTCTATGTGGTTACCCGACACTACCTAAAAAATTGGACTGAGGCATCTCAAAGTCCGTTCTTTGCTGTTGGAATGAAATAAATATGCCGTCTCTGAAAAGGTCCTTAACAAATTGATTCCATTTCTAGACCATGATTGAAATGCCAAATCTATAAAGGAGGGAGGAAACAAAGGGTTCAATAGAATGGGTGCAGTAGGCAATGCTTGTTTACTGTTAAAGTGAAGTCTGAACTGAGACCATATTCTGAGTGATCTGCAAATAATTGGATTATTGGTCGAATAGTGTTTGCTCACTGGGACTGGAGCACAGAGCAGTGAATGTAGAGATACTGGGTTACACGCGTGCTGCTCCATCAGTAACCAAAGCTTCATCACTTCATCTAGCAGAAAGCCAAAATATCAGTTTATGTAGGTTGGCTGCCCAGTAATAATAAAAAAAATTGCCATTGCCAATCCACCCTCTTCCTTTCCAAATATTCTTTTGTTATGTGAGAAATTTTCTTATCCCAAAGAAACATGGAAATATAATTATTCAGATCTTTGAAAAATGATTTGGGAATAAAAACACATTTGAAAATTGAACAGATCCTTATACCTGCGCGTTACACTCACACCCAGATAGAGAAATTTATCAAAACTTACTGAGAATGGAAAGGATTGGAAAGACATTTGTTGCGCTCTTTGATTGATAGGGAACCGAAGACTGTTTGCGAAATTAATTATGTATCCCGAAACATTCCCAAAATCTGAAATAATTGTAAGTTATTTTGTAAAATGTTTTCTGAAAAATAAATAACATTTCTTATATATATA